GTGACTTCACGCCATTCCCCTATTTTGCGTTTCGCTGATACAATCTTATCACACGCACGTCGTGCTGTTACATTTGGACTAGAGTAATTCGTTTAAAGTAAAAGTACCTGGGCCACCGAGCTTCGCTCGGAGTTTTTTGGTGAAAAGTAATATTTTCTTTAAAAAAAAACTAAAAACTTGAATAAACATAAAAAAAAATTATATCTTTGTATCCGACTGGGATTCGAACCTGGACACTTATTCAATCTTGCGCCTCAATTTGTTGCTTGACTATGAAATAACGCAAAAGAAAACTGCATGAAAATTCGAAAACAGGCGTTTTCCCAGATCTATTTATGGCCCCCGAAACCCCTTGTATACTAAATTTCATGAAAATCTTTGGAGACTTGGAGTTTCCGAGATTCAGATGATATATCGATTTGTATATAAATATATATACAAGAATTGCTCGTTTAAATATATTAGATATGAACTACAAAAAAGCTGTTTATCAAAAATCTAGCGATACATTTTTAAGAATCTAGCAATACGGTTTCTGATTACATACAATACAAAAAATGCACCATAAAAAGTGGAATAATGGATTTTGAAGTTCCTTTATTAAAAAGTAATTTTTAATTATGGCATTTAAGTAGATACAAGATATCTTATATGGCGGAAAATGTTATAGGGTAAATCTCATTCCGACACTCTCAAGTGGTTCCAGTGGGAAATTAGCGTTGCAAAGTTCCTTAGGCTACATATCACTAGTCCAATATAAAAATAATTAACTACTTGCAAAAATGTTTAATATAAGTATAATTAGTCTATCATAATAAAAATGTATGATTTTATCATTATAAGAATTCATAAAACAATCATGAAAATCGATTTACAATTTCGTAATATACACATAAAATAATCGTAAACTCGAATTATTATTATGTGGAATTCAGTATATACCGACATGTTATTATTAGTAACATTTTTGACCGATTTTAAAAAGGAGGGAAAACTCAATTCGACCGAATCTTTTTGTGTATTTTAATCGACATCTCTGTCGATGTAAAGGTAAATCGATTTTTATAATATTGTTTTTTAATAAATACATAAAACTTTAATAATTAGACAATTTAACTCGACATTGAGGGATATACCTTTTACCTTTTTATATTAAAAAATATTTATTAAATTTTTATTTTCAAATCAAATCTCAAAAACAATCCAAATCCAGCCAAAAGTTTACTATTCGATTAGTGAACACTGGTTGCGAACATTGTTTTGCTTGTTCATTTTCACAGAGAGCTGTTTCAATGTAATATTGCGATATTTCAGTGCTACTGCGACCGAAAATCAATTGTAGATACGAATAGAGTAGTCAGTTAGCTTTTAATTTCCTAAAGCAAACCAGTTGAAATCTAAACTTGAAAACTTAAACTAGAATGTCAGATCAAACTTTTCTAGTCTATACAATCCTGAATATTAATTTTAAAAATGCAATAGTATATTTGTTGGTATATTTTTCTTAAACGCAGCAAAAGAGCGATGGACTATCATGATTCATTAATTTTGATGTTTTTTAATTTACTTCCGGGGTCTCCAAGATGATTATTAGCTATAGTTGGGTCTGTCAGATAGCGCTGGTATCGAGATCCAGAAGTATTTTTTAATTTTCTATTCGTACATTTTTATTTTTAAGTATTTCTTTTTAAGAAATCTCACAATTAAAGAAATATGTGTCTCACAATAAAAAAAAAATATCACCATTTCAACATCCGTCTTTTTTTAAATATATTTTTATTAGCGAGATCTGTAGCAGAACTACGTCTGGTTACTGGATCTCAAGTTGTCTATCATTTATATATGTAGCAATATACTCTATGTTGTCTATCAAAGACAGTACCTACTAGTACATATTTTTTTGCCTTTAACTTTTTTATAACTTTACTCTCTAAAGAATAAAAGTACAAATAAGCTATCTTTATTTTCTATATTTATTTTATAAAAAATTAAGCAAATATTTACGTACTGGTAAATATTGAAATTATTATTCCAAGTAACATAAATGAGGGAGAATATGGAAATTATCCTAGTGACCTAATTTCAAAATTCTTTATGGTGACAAACGAAGGGGCTGGTCTAAAGAAAAAATATTTTATAAACATAGCCAAAGTATGCATAGTCATAATTTTTTAAATAAATAATATATAATAAAGACAATTTACAAATGCATTTGAACATTGCATTTGTGGTGTGTAGTAATAATACAAAAAAATTTTAACGTAAAATAATTTATAGGAAAATAAATAAGTGACATCTGTGCTCTCATAGGTAAACTACTTTATAACTAATAATGTGACAGGTACGAATCTAACAAGTTTCTTTCAGATCAACCAACAGATGGCAGCACATGTTGTTACACACTTATAGTATGTAGTTATGTACATAAACTATAGATGGCGTCATTTTCATATATCAAAATAATTTACTAATGTTATTAATATTATTGCCAGCCCGCACTTGGCCAGCGTGGTGGACTATGGCATGATCCCCCTCGTATTGAAGGGAGGCCCGTGCCCAGCAGCGGGACGTTAATAAGGGCTGAATCATACATACATTAATATTATTGAAACTTATGAAATTTATTACTTTATGAAAATTAAGTGAAAAAATCATGCAGTTTGTTGTTTATTAAATAAATTTTACAGATTATATTAATACCAAGATATCGTTCTCACTTCACTCAGACTTCGAACACATCAGGCGTTCTTACGTCCATTTTTAAATTAAAAAAAAAACTCTCACACAAATAAATCTCTTTGAATTATGGGAAAAATCACATTAACCATTTACATTAAAATAGGAAAAACCAATAAAAACTTCGCATTCATATTATAAGATCGTAATCGGACTACTAACGTATTACTATTATCATAAATTCGAAAGATTTTGTGTGTTTATGTATGTATGTTACTCCTTTACGTTGAAACATCTGGACCGATTTTGATGAAACTTAATTTTTGATCGTTGATTGATAAATGATAGATAAGGTTTAGTTACTATATAGGTAACTCAGGTATAGTATGATCTTTTTTTTTTTTTAACGTTGGGAAATGCATTTACGCACGAGGTGTGGGACTCACCGGCAAAGCCAGTACTACCCACTAAAACCCAACAAAACCTTCCCCCGTCTTAATGGGGCGTCGCAGGATCGCTTACGCATTCAACTACGACGCCCCGACGGCAGGTCTGCCGAAGCAGACCACAACAACCACGGGGTTGCTCCACAGTCCACTCTGCTATCAGAGAAGTACCAGGAGCAACCCGCGTGGTACACTGCCCTCTGAAGAGGGCCACCTCCCACCTCCCACCGAAGTGGGCCACCTCCCTGTGCGTTTCTTGGCTTCGCGCCCGGTTGGGTTGCCGGGCACTACTGAGCCCCCCCACCACGACAAGGTGAACGCACGTTGGGGGGGAGGTATAGTATGATCTATAATAACTTATAATATGTCACTATTTGGCATCCACGAAAGCACTCGAGCGAAGCGAATGTAAATCGCTTGTCTAAAATAATATCCATTAACAGGGATAATTTAAAGAGTAAGTAAATAAAAAACTTGTTTGATATGTCATTATAATAATATTTATTCATGTATATTATTTGAATACATCAAAAAATTTTTGGTGTAAGACGAAAATCGTTAATGCACTGGCCATCACTATCTGTAATAGTAAGTAGGCCATGTTGTAATTTTCTTAAAAATTATTGTACATCTTCAGGAATGTACTACACTACCGCTACATAGCGAACAATCGAACCTAGGTCCTAGTAGGCTAGTTTAAACGAATTTTACATAAACCGTTATTAAAACAATTAAATTAATAGTAAATTATTAAAATCAGTCATTTACAAAGCATCTCATAACTTTACATAACGCTACATCTAATTAATATACGCTTATACCGATTAGATAAAAATGTGAGATTTTTTTGTTGTTTTGGATATCAATTATTGCACTTATAAATACATATGCCATATACTGAATGACCATTGTAACTCTTATTTATTCTGAAGAGATAAATATTTTCTTACGTTATAAAAAAATAAAAAAGTTTGTGATGTCGCATCGACTTCCGGCTATCGACCATCGACTACCGTTCCGTACACACTCGTAGAGACGGCCACCTAAACTAACTCTAATTTCAATAATCTAGGGAAATGGCATAAAATTGAAACTTCATTAAATTATACCACACCACGTTTTATTTAAGTAGTGTGCCTTCTAATCTTACAAACTCCTTAGAATATAAAATATCAGAAATGGTGTCGATCACTAAGTTTAAACTATGCAGAAAGCTACACTAACATATGGAACTACTTATTATTTCTCAAGCTTCCCACACAATTTAAAAATGACATATATGCATTCGAGATTAAAATCGGAGTTTTAAAATATTGAATCACTATAAAATGTACAGATGATTCGAATCGAACATATCAGTAATTCTTTCGCTAAACATTCCATCTATAAATAACTAAATTACAATACTGTCTCAAATTAATTTATACACCTCCAACATACGTGATCACAAACACGCGTATAAATGTTACCTACACGAGAGCTATGTACAAAAATTTACATCGAAAAAATCATATAAAAAACCATACTACCAAAATTATAAATAACATAACGAAACTATATGTACAAAGAATTGTCATTGACCGTTTAAACATCAATTTAAGATGGTACCCTATTGCTGTCAGGCAGTGATAATGGCACATAGCAGTACCTCATTGAATTACTGGACAATTTACTCAAATTCAAACACTTAACATCAAGTCCCAATACATTACACACAAATAAAAATTGCCCATTTCATAATTTCTAAACGAAATCTAACTAATCAAAATTCAATATGGCGGCAATGTATATTAACAAAAAATAATAATATCCATACTATATGTTTATTACACTGGTTTGGGACTTGGAAGTTATTTCGAGGGTCTTAAAACAAAATTACGAGACCATTTGCCGATGTCCATTTTGACCGTTGCCGTTCTGTGAGGGGAACAGGACGCCTTCGTATGTTACTCCGTTTAGTTCGATAGACACCACGAGTTGTTGATCGCCGGTGTTTGCATCACCTGGTAAATAAATGTGGATATTAGGATACTTAATTTAAATTATGCGAGAATAATGTAATAATGGCATCTATCTAGTCTGCACAAGAAGTAGGTGTTCGATTCTTGGATGAGGCTGTAGACCTGAAGTTCTGGATTCCGAATTGGGCTAAGTATAGTTAATGGGTTATGGTCTGATCCGCTTCAGCTAGGCCTGTGTCGTCAAAAAGGGTTGTGTACATGGACAGACAGACACGGGAGCCAATAAGTTTTTCTGCCAAGAAATTCTCAGTAGATGATAAGCATTGAAAATTGACGGTTTCACGCCCCTGTTACTGTGCCTTAACTCTTCGCAAGTTCCGAATACTCCCACCGGATTTTCGAATAAAATAAATAAAGAAATCAAGCAACTATTTCCCTATAAAATCTTTCACACAGTGAAACTCATTAAGAACGACCACTATACCGAAATTGGTCTCAAAACTTTATTTACTTATCCCGCTAACAGCTAATTTTAACTTAGTAACTTAACTATTATGTTTTAATTCCATTTGCTGTAGAAAACCTTAGCGCATGGAGTCTTAGCACTTTAAGCACTTCTTAAAAGACATAACACCTCGTTAAGACGAGGTGATAAGTCACCTCTACTGGTGACAGGAGAGCTGGCGCATTTTTCGCCCAAAGAATCGGCATTGCCATTCGGCGGGGGAATGCGGCTAGCATTCTTGCCACTATTCCAATGACTTTTACAGTAATAACTAAGTGTACATATGTTTTGTACATATAATTAAGTATATTTGTAATTTTCTTTATTAGATACAGTAAATATAAACTTAACAACTTACCTCGCGTAGTAATCTTGAACGCAGCACCATGCACGCCGTTGCTATTGGCATTGCCGTTCATGTGCGCGTGCGCGCGCGGGGAGCGCGGGGAGTGCGGGGAGGCCGGTGCGGGCGCGGCGGGTGAGGGCGGGCGCGGCGTGCGCCGCTTGGCGGGCGGCGGCGGGGAGCGGCAGGCCTCCCGCTTGCCGCTGACGCTGGAGTTCGGACTCTCGCTTAGATTTAGTGCCTCACTGTAAGAAAGGCTATGATTATTTTGAAATAATTGTTTTAGGTCAATACAATATTGTAAATATTTTAAGTTTGCATTAAAATTTGTTTTTTTCTTATATTTAGATTGATCACTCTTTAACAAGTCATAAAAAGCATGGTCTAAATATTGTAACACAATGTTAACATACAATTTATATACGACTAGCAGTACCCGCGACTTCGCCCTCCTTTAAATTTCCGATATAAAAATCAGTCTTACAATAATATATGGAAGTCTGCCCGATTTGTTGACATTTATAATTACTGCTCCGCTCCCTTGGGTAGCATTATAACATATAGTCTATATATTATCTTACTCAATAAAAGAGCTATCTAATGCAAAAACAATTTTTCAAAACGGATCAGTACTTACTTCCTGAGATAAGTGCGTACAAACAAACAAACTCTTATCTCTTTATAATATTATAGTATAGATTAGATTTATTAAATATAATTATTTATGATGATACAATACAAATCTAAATGAATTTTCAAAGTTTATGTATCATTAAATAAACTAATACTTATTGCAAAATATTAGTCGATACTGTATTATTGAAGTAAAGTATGTACTCACCGCTGTGGTTCAAGATCTGGTTGTGGGCTATTGTTGTTGTTATTGTATAGTGACCAAAGTGTCAGTCGAGACACGTCGATGGCGGAAAGCGCCGCGTCTCGAGGTGACACCATGGGAGCACCCGGGGGAGACTCTGAGCCTGGGAAAGAATAGAAATGATTAAACAACATTTATTTTGTTACTAGATTTCGTCTGTGAATTAAAGAAAGCGTATGTTTACTTCCAAAATATAAGTTATCAATATTTGGAATTTCATTGAAAACCGTTGAGACATTAGGTCCATCATTTAATAAATTTGCACGTATACTATAAGTGTGACCTAAATCTCATAAAGAAATATGGACATTACTTCGTTTCCCATTTAGGACGAAATATTAGTAAATATCAATCACTCAAAGGTTTCTGTTACTATTTAATACCATTTATGTACTGCTGTCGACCTTCCACTACACATTATACTTAGTTAAATCTAAGGAAATGAACGAATATATCATGTACCTTTAGATGTTTACTCATTAAATGAAGAATCAAGCACTATATATTTATTATTTAGGGCGATATATTTAAGAACTTCTAACAAATAAATAGATTTCGAACAGAAGTAGAAACAAACATTATCAAAACTCTTACCATTCCTAATCATTTCACGCTGTTGCTGTATCATTTTCATGTATTCTCTAACACGGTACTCTATATCGTGTTGTGAGATGTGCGGCGCGTGCGGCGGCAGGGGTGGCAGACGGGGCACCCCCGCCACTGCACCCCCTAACGAGAGGGACAGAGGCTGCATGTGCTGGGACAACTGGGCGAGAGACGCTGGCACTCTGTTTAGGGGTGGCTGTCAAAAAAATATATAGTTGGTAATTGTAAAGTGAAAAAAATAGAACTATATACCTAATTAACATACTTATAAAAAACTTAATTTGATTCTTCTTATTGTACATAATATAGATAGTTACCACATATAAAACTCATTATGTTTATTTATATAATACCAAAAACCAATATTTTTCCGTCTGTCTCTTTTTAGTATTTACCAGTGGGTAATAGAGATTAGTGAATCTCAGGAATGGCTGTACCGATTTTGACATAACTTAAACTGTCATATAATCAATTCAAGCGAAAGGGACAGGCTTTTTTCGTTGTGATACCAGATCGCAATCGCTGACGAAGGTTGTTTTAAATAAATCCAGTATAGCCTTAATTTTGTTGTTGATATTGGGGATTTATCCTATCATATTATATCGTGTTTATTTTTATACATATGTACTAATTACTGACAGACAGATTTGTATCCTAAACCTCAAAAAAATCTAAAAAAAAATATTTTTTGCAATTGATAAAAAAAATTCCCATATTTAAATAAATAATATCTAATATCTAGTAAAAGCCACTATGTAGACAATACATACAATACTCACCATGGCCAACGCGGCCTGCGCATCGTACTGTCCTGAGGCGCGGCGTCCCTCACGCTTGTTGCCCTCGATAGCCGCGTCCAACTCGCTCCTAGTCGACAAGTTCTTCTTCTCGCACTCATAATCATATAAGTATTTCATGTATCTGAAATAAACATGTGTAATTTGATTTGACTTTGTATTTTACACTAGCTATTTTATTTATAATATGTACCTATGTATTTAAAGTTATATATGTGTAGTGTATCAACTATCTGGTGGCCATAGGCCATAACACATAACTAGATGGTGCTTAGTATTAATGTTCCAAGATATTTATTCATTATATCCTCTACGGAACCAGGGTATCATATTTGATACTTGTAATAGAAACTTCGTGACAGTGCCATCTGTTATGATATCCTAAATCTTTTTTATTTAAACCATATAGTAGGTTTTTGCAATATATACCCACCCACAACTTTCGTCATTCAAAGTTATTAAGGTTTAAGTGGGTAGGACAGTTAATATTTTTCGCAAATTCGAAGTATTCGCCATGTCAACTTCGCGTAAGGGTAAGTATTATTAAATTACTAGTATTGCCCGCGGCTCCGCCCGCGTTCAGATGTCCAAAAACAGAATTCTTAGGTTTTACATATCAGTATACTCTTACATTGCAGTTTTTGTATTTTTTCTCAGAAATGAGATATTTTCCCGCAGTAAAATGTATCCTATATGTTGTACCTGGATATCTAGCTATCATCATACCAAATTTAATCAAAATCTGTTCAGTGGTTTTCTCGTGATGCGGTCACAGACAGACAGACAGACAGATAAAAATTCTAAAAACGATAGATTCGGCCTCTGTATCGATAACAATGACTATTTCAAAAAGATTTTCTAATGTTGTTATCAGAATTTTATTATATGTACTAGGTATAGACGACCGTGTTCTATTAAAAAAGTAGTGATGAAAATGATTAAAACCTCTCTATGTCATTCAAAAATGATGTCACCAGAACATTAAAAATCTTTGATCATATATTATAATAATGTTGAGATATTACTAATAGCCGTTCTATTATAATCGAAGAGTCACAAGCTGTAATTCAAAGTACCTATCATCCGACGAATGTTAAATCATATCTCACGCTCAATCATCAAAAATCTCAAAGAAAATAACATTCTTAATCCTATTCTACAACAAGTCAATTTTATTTGAACACATTGTCACCGTTCTGTACCATAACTCATATAGACCATATTAAACGTCCACAATACTCGAGCCGACTATTCATAAAAAAAGTCGGCTACCTTTTCAAGATTGTCAAATATGAAAGCTAAATATACGACATTCGTCATTACCATCGTCTAATTTTATGTACAGTGAATGTCTCCAAATTTCATATATCTCATACAATAGTTTAGTGATCGTATTAGAGTTCAGTAGGTAATATATTTAAAACTGATTTACGTGAACATGTCGAAATGAAGAAAGTTAAGAACAAGCCATTAATTTAATTTATACTGAGATAAAACATTTATTAGATAATACTACTCATAAACTACATATAACAGATATGAAGAATAAGTTCGACGGCACGTTTGGCTCAGTTTGTAGTTACCTTACTTGCTGTGCCAGCGGTCGCGGGTTCGAATCCCGCTGGGGGCATTCATTTGTGTGATGAGCACGAATGTTTGTTGTTATACATATATGTATATGTATAACAACAAACATATGTTGTAGTTATACATATATGTATCCATAACACAAGCCTCGTAGCTTACCATGGAACTAGATGGTGCTGTGTGTTAATGTTGGGCAACATATTTATTTATTTATAAGTATTAAACTAGGTATAAAAACTTGAAAAAATATGATGTAAAACAATATGTTTAGTAATTTTAGATATTTTATAGAAAATCCTATTAGAATTCTACTTAGCGAGTCAAAAACAGTAATTAGTAATCATAATAAGGAGGTTGCGTTCAAAATTCATGTCGTGCGTAACGGTGCACAGTTTGAATTAGAATAACACCTTTATGTGGACCGACAAAAGACGAGGTGAAGGAACGGAGATAAATGAGAAATTATATCGGTCGAGATGAGCTAGAGGTTATTAATTATGAAGGTGTGAAGTTGTCATATTGTCGCGCTGGCCGCTCACGTACGCTATTGTAAGACAGTTTTGTCTACAAGTCGTGTGCGTTGAAACTTGAGATAATGACGCAACGCAGTGTCGAATATGGAAGGACTCCTGACAGACCACACGTGGATAGTTGAAACTTTTATGTCTAATTTGAAGCCTGATTATAATATAAATAATATATGAATATGTTGAGATATTAACACATAACACCATCTAGTTCCGTGGTAAGCTACGAGGCTTGTGTATGGATACCAGATAGTTGATACATTACACATATATAACTTTATAAGGACATTTATTATAAATATAAACACCCATGAAGCACGATTGGAGTACAAACATTCGTGCTCATCACACAAATGAATGCCCCCAACGGGGCTCGAACCCGCGACCGCTGACACAGAAAGTAGGGTCACTAAAAACAGCCAAACGTAGTCAAATACAACTAATGTCTAGATTATCTTACTTATTTTATATATTTTTTGGAAAATTCGTAATACATATATAAATAATTGTTTTTTATATTAGCTGTTCTTTATTCCTTTACTTCATTAATACGTCCCATATTTCTATTTTAAACAACGAAATCTGTAACATCTAGAGATGACTAATTTAAACATAAGTACGAGTATGATCTGCCAATATTTACGTTCTATTTGTTTCAGTTTTTTTGTTAATATTCAATACAGTTATAGAAATCGAGAAATCGATTATCATATTATTTTTATACTGTATTATTGTTATACTGAAATCTAAATACTGTATATTTTTAAAAACATTAGTAGATGCGTAAAAATTAAAAAATAATTATTGAGTTGTTGGTAAAAACTAAGATTTTTTTGCTTCTGCTTCATATATTTTACTAGCTAGTTTTTGGTTTTGCAGCTACTTTTCACCATCTTAAATAGAATTCCAAAAGTTCCATTTTAAGCATTGACTACAAGAAACTTCATATAGGTATTATTATTTATACGCTTCATATTTTGATATTTTAGTTTTTGTATTGCCGTATATTTTTTCAGGGCTACTACTAAGCAATAGGTACACTACTTACTGCGTGCGTAAAGTGAATGCGGCTGAAGTGATGGAGGAAGGGAGTCGTAGGCCTTTGATGATCTCTTGCCAGAGTTTCTTGTTGATGACTTCTACAAGACCACCGCGAGCGATCACCAGATTGTACAGTTCGTATAGATCCAACACCGACTTCGCCATGATGGGCAGTCGATTGATTGGTGTACCTATAAATTAAAAAAAAATTTTTTAGTCACTGTATATTAATCGAAATCAATACATATAATAAAATTGTAACCAAGCCGAATCTGTACATTAAATATTTTTTGGAATATCTTATCGAAATAGACATTATTATCGATACAAAGGCCGAATTTATTGTTTTTAGAATTTTTGTCTGTCTGTCTGTTACCGCATCACGGGAAAACCACTGGAGGGATTTTGATGAAATTCGGTATGACGGTAGCTGGTTATCCGGGTCAACATATAGGATACTTTTTATCGCGGGAAAATATCTCATTTCTGAGAAAAAATAAAAAAATACGTAAAATCTAAGAATTTGGTTTTTGGTCATCTGAACGTGGGCGTAGCCTCGTGCTATGCTAGTATTTAATAAACGGTAGTGGTAGCTTGATGGTAACGTGCTCGCTTGAAAAACATAGTGAAGCCAGTTCAAATCCCAGGTCTCGCACTTCTCATATTTCGACATGAATACCCCTTTGCTTAGCGGTAAAGGAAAACATCGTGAGAAAATCTGCATATCTAGAGAACCTAGCAGGTATTAAATTCGCCAACCCGCACATGGCCAGTCTGTAGGTCTATGGCCCGATCTTTCTCCTAATATGAGGGGACCCGTGCTCCGAAGTAGAACATTAAATAAGAATGAATAGATAGGTACCTACATACATTTTTTATTCATTGTAAATTATTATTCATTTGTAAATGCTACGGTAGAACAAATGATTACCCTTAGAAAAAGTTAGTACGTTACGTTACATACTTAGTTCAGTGTTCTATGAAAATTTTATTATTATAGTTAATATAGCATTCCTTGTTTTAAATATAAACACAAAAGTTGTGTCAAAAGTGAAAATGTACATAAGAACTAAGAGCGAAACGTAAGGCAATAAAGTCACTAGCATGTTAAATCGCAACGCATCGTGCGATCGATGATTTATGCGACCGGCCGATCGCGTTTACGACGCGTTAGACGGATTTAGTTCAGGCGGTGTGGCCTATTGCCGCGGAAACCGATCTCTAGTGATTTACTGTAATTCAGTAAAACGTAACGATGTGACGAAGAATAGCTCACATATCTCGTTGCGTTACGCAAGTCACATTCCAACTGATGTGAGATGTAATGTTATGGATAAACAAACATACTAATATATCTGTGGGAATGACTTAAAATGTTTAAATAATCAATGTATTTTATGAGTTTTTCTAATATTTTTGTATTTGTTATTTTTTTTAATCTAAGTTATGGCATAATCATACTATGAATATTTTTTTTTAAACTTTGCAATTTTTATTTGAATGATGATATAATTAAATGAGAGTTAACAAAATATATAACGCCGTTTACTTCTCAAGCTCGATTTTAAAAGTTTAATACGTAAGAACTCAAAAAACAATTCACGCTCATAATAAAACGCGAGCTGAGACCGTTTATTGATGAACACGAAGCATTAGCAAATACCGACGGACTATTTGTCAATCCGTCTTCCTGTCTACAGTTAATCATCCCGGTTATCCTGGCTGGGGGTAGGCAGGGGGCTGTTGGGTTTCAAACGTCACCCGTTTAGAGATTAATTGCCGAGCTTATGTTTAAGTACAACGTGATGTGCTAAAATTGGAGCAAATGAAACGAAGCCTATTACTAACGGAGGGTTTCCAAATTGATGGTAGCGCTATATAATAATGTATTCACCAATATGCAAATTGCTTTTTATGTTTTATTTTATAACAAATTTTTATTAGTTAGATGTTTCAAAATGCCAAGTATAAAAAAAAGGAAATCGAGCATATGTTATATATGAAATATTTTGTATTATAATATCGGTATCAATATTCAACAAATAAACTGCATTCCACTAAAAGTTTAGATAAGGCACGTATTATTAGCTAGAAAGTTTGCAACATGTTGCAAGGAAACTAGCGCAAAGGGCTCCGTTATCCCGCTAAATAACAAGTTGGTTACAAGAAACCGTGGACAAAAGCTATTGTTTATGAAAGCAATCACCCCAATAACGATTTCCACTAACCGCCTTCCCCGACGGAAAACGCGCGATTCGATGCGCGTGCGCCGAGCACCGTGCACTCGCTATTTGCATTATACCCTACCACCGAGCATACTCTCACATCAACTAAACACGCCAAGCTCAGAAAGACTTACACAACTTTGCCGCTTAACCCATAATTTACGACGTATGTCCAATCGTCGACAGAGCCAATCTAATCGTGCCCAATTGTGACAAATTATTGCTTTTCCTACGAAACCTTACGCTAAATATATTACGAATTTCACTTTATGAACCCAAGTTTTATGATGCTTCGAATAGGATGAATTCTTTTCCCTATACTTCAATAGCTACACTGTTGCATTTGTATCGATTATTCGCACCTCACCTGATATTTATTGGCACTCGATGTCGCTTAGAAAGGCTAACTCTTTTGTGAGCAAAACTGCAACTGTCGTAAATCGCTAACTCTAACGCCCCCAGTGTTGATAAAGGATTGTAAATAACAAATGATTTGCTCCCTAATCTCCTTTAAGTGTAACAGCATTTAAGTACTCAGATTTTATTGCCAGATTAAAAGTTATGGTGTTATGTTGTGCTCAAAACTTCTTTAATAGCTGAAATAATAAAAAGGTTTAGGACATTAAAATGCAGTCACTTTATCTATGAAAGACAATCGGCCTATCAGACACCGTCCGGTCTTGACGAAGCGTGCGATAATCGATCGAATCGACATTCGACGCCTACCTCTTATCGAAAGCTGTATCAAGGCCCTTTATGCCTCAACCCTGCCAACGGCCAATGAGAATGCACGGAGAAACCACGACGGCCCCTCATTGGTCTGATACGCTTTTGATTGCGCCGCCCCACTCGATTCACGACTCGATCAATCACAATTACTCGCCTATATTGGTAACGCTCCAGCTCGTGCGCTTTTATATCAAATTTGCAAAACTAAAAGTTTATATCCCCAAATTGTAAACGAAATCAGTAGAGAACCATAAATTTATTATAAATGCAGTAAAGCCAATGAGTGTAAAGTAATATGCAGATGATCTCATGTATGTAAACGTAGAATAAATATTAATTATTTGTTAAAGTAAATAACTATATAAGATTATAAATAGAAACGCACATATGTTGAAAATACGAATCGCTAGGAAGCTTACACCGATGTGGTAGTAAAATGTTTACGATTTAAGATATAAATTAAATTTAATGCGACAAACATAACCGCATCAATCCGTTTAAGTATCGTATCCTATACGATATTGACGGAACACGAATAAAAAATTGAAGCTTACATTAGTGCCAAGTGTTTTTTTAAGGGAGTTTCGCAAAATTTCCTAGAAACACTATGGAAGTGAATAAAATAATATAATCTGTTAAAATATACTTAAATGATAATTATTATTCGTCGATCATTTTATTTCACATTCGTATATTAAGGTAGTAAACGACAGCTAGCCCCTGTTTAGACAGTCGTTAAGACTTTATGAGCGGAAGAATTTATTGCGGCCCGAAGTGAAGTTTTAATTTAGAAATACGATCACACTAGTGTTAATTTCCACACTTAATGATACGCTGAACGAGTGTTTCTTATTGATCGCTTGTACTTCGCTTTGCACTTGATGTGTTTATATTTATTATGATTTCATAATAATTAGGCAAGTAAATTGCTGTCCAAAAAATATAATTAGGGATGTGCATGTTAAGTTTTTAACAATTTTTTTTAGGTCAATATAATGAACAATTTTAATATCTATTGATGGGGTAAACTTGGCATGCCATGAATGTAACTCAATATGTATTTATTACTTGTAGTACAAATTCCAAGAGATACAGCGCGAGAATGACATAAGGCTGACGATACAACGATCAATCATGAGGGGAGCAGTAAAGCTGAGAACAATCCAGCGTAATTCCGTCTGAGAGACATTAAAATGGCTGCCGCCCTATCCGGTGCAACATTGTGGAGAACTGCGCGAGCGCACAATAATACTTTCTTATTAGAATCACTCGAGAACCTGACAGTTTTATCACGCCTGTAATTCTGAAGACATGATTAAATGATGAGCGATAGACGTCAAAAATTGATAGTAATTCGTGAAATTATTGCAGAGAAGTATAAAAAATAATTTAAAGCGTCACATCGTTCAAAACCTTTAAAACTTAATAACGCATAAATCATTTATACGGACGCAGATCAAAACAGCCAGTATATTTAAGTATTGTATCGCTTAGTGGAATTCAGGAGGCCATTCGATGTAATTGGCAATCATTCAGAAAAGAATATTCTCTCGCTCAAACGAGCAAGACAAAGGCAGCCGATAGTACCTACAGGCGAGTCATTACAGGTCAATACCCATTATTATACGATATTTTCGCGAGCACAGCCCCCTCGATATCCCGTACGCTCACATGAGACGGTAAATATCTGTAATTAAAGGTTGTAAAGTTGATTTACAACTGGGGTCTGAGTATCGAACCTCGGGATACGCCTCAACCAATCCCGAGGCTGGAGCGCTATAGCACCGCGCCTCGTATCAATTTATTAGAAATGAATGAAAATCGTCGTTGCGGTGGCTTCGGTTCATATAATACGCGTTTTGTGGTCGCGAGTCCCATCTACACCCCAGTGAATCCTGGTAGATAGTATCGAACGCGCTTGCGTGCTTTACGACCTCCGCAGGGACGGTAACACCGGCAATAAAATTACAACAATGGAAATGTCGGATGCGGCTAAAGGCGACGCATCTACGCCGGATCATTGCGATGAATGCAACAATGGAACCCTTGAACATGGTGGCAGCTATCGGTAAACATAAACCAGTACGATCTCAGCAGAAACTAGTTGCCGTGCGAACAAATGGCAAATATAACGTAACTCTTGACTTATTTCTTTTAATTTTTCCACCATGCCGTAAAACCTAAGTTATTTTAGAATAAAGTAAATGATTATAACCGGTTCACATAATAATTTCTTA